TGTCTTCATCAAGGCCTTGCTATAGTAATTAATCAATGGTAGCCTTTCTAATAATAATTTCATTATTATTATTCCCTTGTGTTCATCAAGGCCTTGCTCTAAAAGGTTTACATTGTAACAGGGTGAGGGAACAGCTTCCCTGGGAAATAGAAAATCTAAGAAACGAAGACTCAGGGAGACTTTTAGGATGGTGCTTTCAGAGCCTAGTGGGTTCTAGTAGATTAATGTCAGGAAGGATATTACAAAGGCCTTCGCTACAGTGGGGATACAGCAGAGTACTGTGCTAATCTTCGGAGCAGGGACCATACTGAGTGTCCAGCCAAGTAAGTAAAGTGGGGCAAGGGTCAACATTGACAATTGATTCTTCTTCGTCCAGGATGCTAAGTTGAGCCCAGGTATTTTCTTCTGTAAGATCCCAAATGGTTCTTTCCACCCATCCCCAGAAAATTCTCCCATCCAGCACTCAATGCTTGGGAAACATCTTTAGACTGAGACTTTAGGAATCATGAGGCAAGTGATAAGCCTGTAGTCCCGGACCCTCCATGAGAAGATCCAAGATACTGCTGCCCTGAACAGAGTTGTGTGCTACTGAATTTTTGGTTTATTGAAATCACAACCTTTAACCCAGGATACTACAGCAGGATAGGGCAAAAGGAAAAGGGATGAACAACCAAATTCTCAACACAAAAGAGCAGAAGGTCTAACTCTAAAAAGTGTGATTCTCTTGTCCCCTGGAGGAGATCAATACTTCTATTGAAGCAGGAGGTAGATTTAGTGAGTTTCTGTAATGGTGTCACCTGCAGTGTGAATACCAGAGGAATTGTGGGCAAACTCATATTTGGAAAAGGAACCCAAGTGTCTGTAATAGCTGGTGAGTCATCCCAGGTGGCACCATTTGCAATCCCATGGGCCAGTGAGTGTCTCTATTCCTTTCCTTGGGGATATCAGTCTTACTATGGTGAGGCTAACCGTGGGTGTTAAAATGAATTGTCTTACAGAGGCCTCTGTGAAAAGAAAACGCATCACTATCAATTTTGAAAATCTGTGTTTCTCTAGGTCAAACACATTAAAATTTGACTTTAATCGCTCAATGGATATTTTCTAATGCCTTCTATGTGGCCATCACTCTAAAAGAGACTGACTGCAAAGAAGTCTAAGATAGATGACTGACCTATTCCTAAATTGGATAAAAACTAGCTAAAGGGACATAACTATTATAAATTTAGCAAGCTGAAAACTATTTTAGTATTAACAAATTGATGACATCAATAGGCACAATAGAGATTCAGAGGAATAGGTTTACGGCTGGAAGTTGGCCTAGACAGATAAGGATTTATGCAATAGAAAGGATTCGTTGGGCCTGAAGGATGAGTAAGATCTGTATGGGCAAACACTGGAGAGAAGGGGACTTTCAGGCATAAGGAACAACAAGAAAGAGGGCATGATCTTGGACGTGAACAAGGCATGTGCATTTTGGCCCAAGTAAACACATCTGATAATAAATTGGATGCAGGGAAAAGCAAATAAAATGTCTTTTTAGACAAGAGAGAAAAGGAATCCTAAAGCCTTCAATAGAATACAGACAATTAGGGCCAAAGCCAGCCACTAGGAAACTGGGGATCCAATTTAGAAACGTAGACCAGATGTGAATGTGAGAGGGGACCAGCTCCTTCTGTGGATACCTCATGTCCTAGGGACCTCCCTTCCCCTTCTTCAATGGGCTCTACAAGGTAGGTTACCCCATCCCTCAGAGGAGGAGAAACCTAAGGGTTTCTGTAATGAAGACTTTAGGGGTGGTATGAAGGTGTTGCCTCTCAGTTGCAATTTGGCAAAGGAACCAGAGTTTCCATAACTCCTGGTAAGTCCGCCCAGGCTCACTGCTTTCTGATGCTCACCATAGGCTCTGTCAGTGACCCAGAGTCAGTGTTGCTAACTAGGAACAATTCTGGGTTCCTAGTACCTAACTACAAAGCACAGGTTTTGTGGGAAGGAAGCTTTCAATCACTGTTGTGCCCCTATGCATCCAAAGCACTAGAACATTCGGACGTGTGCTTCTGTGGTCAGTTTTGAATTAAAATGAAAGGTTAGGATCTAACATAGCTGAACTTCTGCATTGAAAACTTGACCCAGTCTTGCTAAGGCCAACTTCTGAGATGTCATCAGTGGTAGGATGTGTGTTGCTAAGATGGGACAGGATGCCTCTCCTCCCAGGGCTCTGACAGATGGACCCCTAAAGACCTCCAAATTAAAAGTGACTCATTTCTTGTCTTCAGGCAAAGAGATGGTTGTGCTAGATGTACATGGGAGCAGAAGTAAAAGGGGTTAAAAAAAATCAAGTTTAAGGATCAGTACCCAGCTTTTTTTACCAAAAAGTTCTGATAAGCAAGAATTTTGCAAATCTGATGGTTACTAGGCCATTTATTGATCCAACAATTGTTTCTTGAGCACCTGCTATACAGCAGACACTAGGTGAGCTTAATTTTTTCTCTCAAGTCCTTTATGTGCCCTAGATGAGGAGACCTTCACCTGAAAACTCTTCATGTTGGCAAGCAGGTGAAGCTCTATTCATCTAGGGCACATAAAGGACTTGAGAGAAAAAATTCAAGCTCTCCAGATCATGGCAGTCCCTGAATTTCATGCCAGGAAATTTGGGCATTATTCTGTGGGCACTAGGGAGTCCCTGAATTATTCTGAACAAAAAGTGGTGCAATCAGCTCTAGGTTTTAGACAAGTACTTTGGAGGATGAGCTTGAAAAAGACAATGGGGGGACAGAAGGGGCGGGGAGGGGAGCAAGAGAGGAAATCAGAGGTAAGGAAGCTGGACAGGAGAAACAACAGCAAAAATGCAGATAGGGAAGCTCAAAATGCATGAAGTCTTGGTAAAAACAAGACTTGAGAGCAGCAAAAATCACCTCGAGTCTTCTGACTTCGTTGATTGTTATTTCATGTAGATCTCTCACTAGTGAAGTTGAGCAAAAATTGGCCTTTCCCTGATGGAGTCACCCCCCACCTCACAGACTTAAAGATGGTTTTTAAGGCCCACAATCAGCCCTTTCCTCAAAAATCTCATGTTCTGTGGCATAGCTCTCTCCAGACCAATGCTATCCAATAGAACTTTCTGGGACAATGAAAGTGTTCTCTCAACCTGCACTGTCCAATATGGTGGCTATGATGCTCTTAAAATGAAGTTTTAATCTTTAATTGAATTTTGATTTGATTTCATTTTGGCTAGTTTTCATTTAAATAGCCACAGGTAGCTAAAGACTATCATATTGGACAGCATGGTCTAGACCTTCTTCAGCCTGACACTTATTGGCTCTAGGACTTGAGTGAGTGTTTTACCAGGACTCAGAGTTGGACATCAGGCCCCCACCACAACCCCTTTTCCCCTCTAAGCCCAAACTGCACTGGTGGCACCTTATCCTCTGCCTTCTCCTCAAGGCCACATTCCCTCACCACTTTCATACCCTTCCACAACTCCCTTCCCAGTCCCACCCGTGACTCCCACTGAGGACGAACAAATCCATTGGGGTATGCTGGTGGCACATAATGGCTTCCCATCTCTCCTTTCCCTGTAAAAGATTTATGCCCTAGGGCCTTAACCCACAGTGATATCAGACCCCCACCCCCAGCCCCAGATATGGGGACATTGGAAAGGAACAGGCAGAATCCCTCGTGGCCAGAGCTTTGGATGTCCCTCACATGGGACCATGGACCCACCCAGGTTGTGCTCCAGGGACAGCCCCACACCCTTGACTTGACACCCTTGGGATGCCTTGACTCAGCAACCCAAGGCCATGCCAAAGGCTGATGTCCCTGGTTTCAGATCCAGCTGGAAGTCTGCATTGCCAAGGCCACCCTGGCTGGCCTCACAAGTGGGGTACACCCCTGGTCTGAGAAACCTTGCATGCAGGGTGGGGAGCTGTGGGAGCAGAGAACCACAGGGGCAGGAAACTCTAGTCCCAACCCTGCTGTAAACTCTCTGGGTGGCCCCAATGTGTTAACCCTCCCAGCAAACCTCTGTTTCCTCTTTTAAAGGCAGGAGGTCTGAAAGAATAAACAATGAGAGTTACATTAAAAACACAAAATCCTACAGAAATACTGAAGAATGATTCTCAGCACTAAGGAAAAGCCTCCAGCAGCCCCTGCTTCCTGGGGGTGAAGAGTAGAAACGGACTGTATATAACTCAGTAGCACATTATCATGGCAATATCCTGGTATTATCAAGAGCTGCAATTACTTTCATTTGTTCAGTACTGTTAAACATAATTTTATAGAGAGAAACTCCTCTTTGATTTTCAGAATAGCTTGGTTAGGAAGGTGGAGGAGGCAATATCTCCATTTTACAGATGAAATTCCTGACCTTTAGGGAGCTGATGTGGCTTGTTCAAGGCCTTGTATCTAGTGAATGGTAAAGCCAGGACTGGGATGCGGGTGTTCTGATTTATTGTCTAAAACTTTTATCAATGAGAAATCTCCTGGTGATGTGACCAATCTTCCATCTTAATACCGGCCAATAATAAACCTCCAATTCCTGTCCATACCCACCCTAATTTGGGGGAGGCCACCCCTGATTCCAGCACATCTGGTTTGCTTTGCTGGGCCTCTATTCTAGGCTTGCTTTGTCCTGCCAGAGCAATGTTGTTGCTTACTAGTCCCACTGTGCTTTTGAAGAAGTTCCTATTAAGTAAAAGAATGAACAGTATCATTATGTAGCCCTGCATTTCTGGTTTCCTTGAATGGCAGGCAGGGCTAGGCAGAGAGCCTTCCCTGAGAGCCTGGCCTCTTGGCCAGGACTCGTGGCTTATGCCTGGCCCTGACTCCCAGTCCACTTAGAGCAACTGGTTTCCAGAATGTTCTTTCCCACCTAAGGCCTGCGAATGTGACTTGCCAGCCCCACAGAGCCCTGCTGTTGCCCATCACTGGCATCTGGACTCAGGCCTGGGTTGGGGCAAGGAGGGAAATGAGCATCTCCTAACCTGGGTTCTTTTGGCCCACAGATGTCAAGGAGCCTGACCCCGCTGTGTACCAGCTGGGAGGCTCTAAGTCCAATCAGATCTCAGTCTGCCTGTTCACCGACTTTGGTTCTGAAACCAATGTGCAACAACCGCAGGGGCCTGCGGTGATCAGCTTGAACAGTACGGTGCTGGACATGAAGGTGATGAATTCCAAGAGCAACGCGGCCCTGGCCTGGGGCAACAGCACCGATTTTAAATGTAATGGTACCTTCAACGAGAAATTCTTCTCCAGCTCCGGTGAGTGCGGCCTCGGTGCCTGTGCAAGCCAAGTCTCCCCACTCGGAAACACCCGGTTCCCCCTGGAGCTCAGGTGGATGGCATCTAAAAGCTGCTCTGATGGGTGGTGTCGGCCTCATCCACTGTCAGCAAAGTCCCTCTGCTCTCGTTACTGAGCACCAGTGCTCTCCATCCTGGCGGGTCGCAGAATGTCTTAGGCAAAGAGCAGAGGGGGAGAAGGTGGCGGGAAAGGCACTGGCTTCTCACCCGCCCTGAGTTCCTGCCTCCCTGCCTCTGCTCAAGCTGTTTGCCCCTCACTTCTCCGCCAGGCCCCCATCTAATGCCTTTCTCCGAGATACCTCCCCTTGGTTCTGCCTCTCTGCCAAAGATCCAACCTTACCTAGTCGCTCATTCATTCAGCAAACACTGATTGTGCATATACCACGTACCAGGTGCTGAAGTGGAGGAGTAAATAAGTCAGATGAGGGGTCTGCCCTGAGCAAGCTCTACTGTAGCTGGGGGAGGCCGTCCATCAGCAAGCAGAAATCTAGAGAACGTCAGACTGTAACATGTGCTTTAACTTGGGGGTGGAGGAAACAGCCAACTTAGGGACAGAGAGTCCAGGAAGGGCTCTCTGGGGAAATGCTAGGTGAGATGAGAGTTAAAGGATGAGCAGGGAGCAGCCGGGCCGAGGGTAGGGGGGGAGCCTGTGGAGGCCTGACACAGCGGCACGGCGAGAAGGGCAAGAATAGCAGGACAGGAGATGGACGAAGTGGGAAGGGCCACATCACAGGGCCTCCTAGGGCGTGACAGGGCAGCCACTCTCCTGAGTCCAGTGAGAAGCTATTGATTGGTTTTTAAGTAGGAGAATGACATCCACTTTACCTTTTTCAAAGAGCACTCCGACTGCTGAGTGGAAAATGGATTGTAGGGGCCAAGCAGAAAGGCCAACCGTTGCGGCAGACAGATGATGGCGGCCCGCACAGCGGGGAGCAGGGCAGTTGAGTGGCCAGCATGATTTCAGATTCAAAGGGAGAACCGTGCAGGGGGTGTGAAGGAAAGAGGAGATCAAGGAAGGCGGCTGGACTTTCTGCCCCCGCCGCTGAGTCAATGACAGTGCCATTGACTGAGCTGATGACAACAAAGGAACAAATTTGGAGTGCAGGGATGGAGACTCTGTGGGACACAGGAGAGCATCCACACCCCTCATGGCACTTGTCACTGTGTGGTGGCTTACTGCCTCTTTCAGACTCCAGACTGGAACCTACCCAAGGGCAGGCTGTGTGTCTGATGGTTCCTTGTGGCCATGTGTTGGGTGACAGGTACTTTGCACAGCCAGTGTTCGTGAAGTGAGTGGAGTGGTCCCTGGAAGCCAGGGCCAGTGGCTTTCCCAGCAGGGGTCCACAGGTGACAAGTCCCCTCCAGACCTCTCAAGGAGAGAGCATGGAAAGCCTGTAGACAGAGGCTCATCTGCCCAGATCCTAGGAGGTCTGACGTGGGAGAGTCAACACACTCAACTCTAAGAAAATGTCTTTGTTTCTCCTTTTAGACTTTTCCTGTAATGCCACTTTGATAGAGAAAAACTTTGAAACAGGTAAGAGAGGGGTCTATCCCAGCTTTGAGATGTACCCACAATCACCCTGACTAGATGGGAGAGGGGGGAAGGGATATGTGGATCTGGAACGAAGTTAGGAAGAACGGGAACATTCTTGAATCAACCAGCCTCCTCTCAACATCTCTAATGTTCTTTCTCCCTCTAAGGACTTTCAGGATGAGTCTCTAGTTTCCCTAGACCCCATGACTCATTCCTAGGGCTCTGGAGAACCAGAGTTTCTCCGTAACCCAGCTGTGATATTTCCGACTGGCTTATGCAGAGCCCTGAACTCACCAGCTCCTCCCAAGGGCATGTTCCCTCTGTAGCAGTAGCTGGGGTCCTGCCTTCTTTCAAGAAAAGCAGCAGAATCCATGTAGGCAGGGGTCTTGTCTCTCAGGATCCCCACCACTCCCGGCCCCCAGCCCGGGGCCCCGTCCATTTCCATTGGAGCTGTTTTCACTGAATTGTCCCTCTTGGGGTCCAGGCACCAGCTTCTCACTCAGAGACCCAGACCCAAGGGATTACAATGAGTTCTGAGCCCTGCCCCATCCCCACTCCTGAGGGATGCAGCCTAAAATAAGGACTGAGGGCAGCTGGTGTTTTCCTTTGAAATGGAATACTGTTGACCCTGGAGGAATATACAAATCTGCTTAGGAAGGGATATGCACCCCAGCTCAAAGGGAGAGGTGGGCCAGGAGCTAAAGCCCACCCCCCAGCCACCTGTTGGGGAAAACCATGGGTGGGTCACATGGGCTGTGCAGACCTCCGGGGTACATGCGATAACCTCTTGGTTTTGCAGATATGAACCTAAACTTCCACAACCTGCTAGTGATCGGGCTGCGCATCCTCCTCCTGAAAGTGGCCGGGTTTAACCTGTTAATGACGCTGCGGCTGTGGTCCCGCTGAGGTGAGCAGGCGGCTCAGGTGGGAGTGCGGGCTGCAAGGGTCTCAAGGTGGGTCCCCAAGCTCTTGCTTTTAGGTCCTAAAGCGGGGCCCACCCAACTCCTCCACTTTTTCTGGCTAGGGGTTTGTATTGTTAATAACAGTGGCCTAGAACATTGCTAGGACTCCTCAGGGGACAAGAGGCACCTCAGTTGAGCCATGTCCCCCCTACGAATTAGGAGGAACAGCTGTTACTCTCCTCGTTTTGGAAGGAAAGACACTGAGGCCAAGTCACAGCAAGGGCCACCCACACAGGAATGGGAACATAAGAGAAACTCATGACCCAGACTCACTTAGGCCCATGCCTTCTGTTGTACCCTGTTCACTGCAAAACCTAGAGGGACCCCTACTTCCTTTCCTCACGTCCTCTGCCCCCAGTATGACGCGAAGATATTATGCTCCTATTATGCCCTAATCCCAGCTAGCATCTCCATACCCTTCTCTGCCTGTATCCCTGGTCATCCTACTGACAGGTGCATCCTGCCCCACCACCATCCACAAGAACTCCAGTGTCCCTTTGCTCCTAGATCTCTACAAATAGAGGCATCTCCATCCACGTCCCTAACTGTCCTGACCGCCTCCTCGGCATCCAGCCTAACCACTGTTCTCCCTCATCCCAGGTCACCAAGACCGTGAGAGAGCCCGGCACCCCCTCGCTCCCGACTCCCCACCCTACCTCTCCCCTCCTCTTCAAGCAGAGAGGCAGACTCTCTGCCCCCATGGACAAGAAGGCTCCCTCCGCTTCTCTGGCCCCACTGGCAACAGCCATCAACTGGATCCCACCAGATAGTCATGATCAAGATGCTGAAGAGCTGCCGAACACTGCCTCCGCCCCCTCGGTTCCCTCACCGCTGCTTGTCACGGGCCGGACACTCCGGCAAAGGCAGGGGGCTGCTACGGAGAGACACCCTGCCCGTCCCCTGAGATGAACTCTTCCGTCCCCGGGGTGAGGGATCCCCGGCGGGTCCTCTTGGCCTCTAGCTCCTGGAGAACATTGTGAGGAGTTTGTATTTTTTAAATAGTGTTCATCAGGAAATTTGTATCACCCTTTTTCCCCAAGATGTGGGGGAAAGTATTATGGAGGCCCTGCTGTGCTGTGTGTCTGAGCCACGTTGTATATTCTGCTACCCATGGCTTCATTAAAGGCAATTTGAAAGAGCCGGGACAGTGCTCCTGTTTGACTGCGTTTGGTCAGGGTCACATTCAGCTTGCTATTGATCCCTGGCTGGGCAGAAAGAAACCAAGGCTTTTGTCCTGATGTCGCTAGGGGAGCCTAACTCAATAAGCTGCTGAAGTCAACCTCTTCCTGGAACGACCTCTTAAAAAAATTCCACTTAGAAGGCTGTGCTGGGGGCCAGGCAAACCCACTTAAGAGTTAAGGTCCCTGCCCTTCCGTTTTCCTGCGAGACCACTGGGCCACCCGTAGCAGGAGGCCCATGCCCATGACTGATCAGGACTGGCAGTAAAAATTTGGCAGACAGGGACCACACAGCAAGTATCCCCAAAATGCCACCCACTGTCTCCTGCCCTCCAGAACCATTTCCTTTGCCTTTCCTCTCAGACTGGATTCCCACTGAAACCGTGCACTGCCCCCACAGATTCATGGCTGAGGACCACCCACCACTCCTCTGCCTGGGTCCCAACCCAGTGCCCCAACTTTGGGGTGCCCAGTCTAAGCAGGGGAAGGGGGTGAAGATTAGCCAGACTTTCTACTCCCGATCCCCCAGCCTGGATGTAAGAAATGAATCCTCTCCCCTCAAGCTCAGGGACTCTGCTAAGGAGAGTGGATGTCTTAAGCTCTCACCTAGAAGACAAGGACATAGGGCCTCCTGGGGCCCCTGGTGTTCTTCTGAGCCTGAGTGCCTTTCCTGGGGTCATGGCCACTGATGGGAACACCCCTCAGAGAGGCAGCCACCCTCCTCACAATTACTGCCATCAAGCCCAGGGCTTACCGATTTGCAGAGGGAAGGGAGGGTCCTGTCCCCAAACACCTCTATGGTTCATGCGTGTGTCTGTCTCGGACCACATCAGCCAGAAATCTGCAAATCCTCCCAGCTACAATTCAGGCCTGCATCTTTTCACAAGGATAGAGCCACCAGCTCAATAGGGGTCTTAGGCATGTCCCTCCCTTCCATGAGCTCCAGGGTGACCGCCTATAAAATGTCATCTAAGACTGGGAGGCTGCATGCACCTCTGGTTCTGTGGCCTCTGTGGAGGGGGGCGGTCACGGAATCCTCAGTTCTCACTGAGCCCCCTCATCTGTAGCCTATATGCACGTCCCTTTAAAGATCACTAAAGGGGACAGCCACAGAAGACACCCCGTCATTGCAGGTCCCTCTCACACACAGGAAGACAGGTACCACCTTCCCAAGGTTGAGGTTCTGCCCCCTGCGGAAAACCGAAAACTGCCTCCTCATCAATCTGACGCGATGCCAGAGATCCTGCCATTGGGAATTTCTTTTAATTAAAGCATTCTCCTCCCCCTATTAAATGAAAATGCCCCTGGGAGGGTTAATAGAGCAAGCCTTCATCAACGGTCAAAAACCTAAGGCAAATTAGTTTATCTTTTTTTCCTCCTGAAGTAGTAGTTCACTTTGGTCTGTGTACAAAAGATCCAGGCAAGGGATGTGTGGGTGGCGGAGGAGGCAGCTCTACTCCTGAGAGTTCGCAGCAAAGATGCTGAGGCTGAAGGGGACATGGGGGCTGAGGGCAGGGGACAGGAGCAAAGACCCTGGGAGGCAGTGAAGGGGCTAAAGACAGAGCCCTCCAAGAACCTGGGAGGAGGCCAGGGGAGCTTACGGAGTCATGCCATCCCAGGGCCCTCAGTGGTCAGGGCCCTGAAGTCATGGACCCCAAAGGCCACCCAAGGACCTATGAGGTGATGGGCAGTGGCGGGGGATCTACCCAGACCCACGGAGGGGGCAAGGGTTCCCCCTTCCGGGCCCAGCCCAAGCCAAAGGTGACAAGGCCTCAGGCACGTAGGAGGCCATCTGGAAAGCAGGGTCAGCACACCCCCTGAGACATTTCCATCTCAAACCAGGGCTCCTCGATCCCAGCAAGACCCTTCCCTCGAGGCTAAGGCGGTTAAGCGTAAAGCCAGTGAGAGCTGAGTCAGAGGGCAGACCGGGAGCAAGTGGGTGTGCTGCGGGGGTGATACAGAGACTCTACTCCTCTTCATCCACTCTGTTCTCACCTCTGCCCTCCCCCCACCTAGGGTGTCAGAGGGCATTAAAATACCCTTACGAGGAGGCCCAGACAAAGAGTTCCTGTGCCCCCTTGGAGGTCCGCCCTGGACCTGGGGTCACAGCAGCAGAGCCCCTCAGGGCAGTAAGGCACCAAGCACTGCTCAGCCCGGAAGGAAGAGGCTGCTGAGGAAACCCGGAGACACAGTCATCACATCCATTCGAAGGTCCAGCCCTGGAGAGGCCCAGGCCTCATGAACAGAGACCAGCCTCAAAGAGACAAGTCCTCTGTCCCACTAGGGAATGTGTCACCAAGGCCAGCTGTAGAATGGACTTGTCTGGATAGACACCCTCCTGCCCCAAAGAGCTTAATTAAGCACAGGCCAGCCCTGGGGGCAAAAGAATGAACCAAATGACTTCTCACGACCCCAGTTCTAAGATTCTAGAGAATTCTCTGACACTTCACCCAGAGACCTGCCCCCTCAGTGTAATTGGAATCACTGTCCCCTCAAGAGAAGGGGGCTAAGCAAGTATGTGCTTCAGGAACACCCTGAAGTGGGCTGGGGTGAAATGCTCCAACCGAGTGACCCCCCTCTGCTATGACCCACCATTGGAGAGGCAGCCATCTGAGTCGTGAAGGATTATTTATCTTCTTGGTTTGCCCATTAAAATCCCACTCCCGTGGGTCACATGGAAAGCCTTAACAAGATACCACCTTAGTTATCAGGTAATATCTTGGCAAGAAAGTCCACTCAACTCTGCACCCCCCAGGATGGGCAATGTATCTTGTTCATCCGTGGGTCTGTAACACCTAACCCCACGGCTGGCACATCACTGATGCTTAAGAGACACTTAACTAGCAAATGAACAAATAAATACTTAGTGCCATTAGGCACTGGGAAGGAAGCCAAGTTGGTGGGGGCCGTGGGGGGAGCATAAGAGAAAGGAAAATGGAGATGAATAGAGGAGTCAGCTGGGTGAGCCACCCTTTCACCGTTTTGCCAAGAGCTAAGAGTAACCTGTCAAGAACTATGAGGGAAAGCAAAACCTGAGTGATGGCCCATTGGCCAGTGAAGCCCCCGGGGCGGGCAATCATCCAGTAAAGTCTGGAGGATGGTACCCGGGGGGCGCCAGGGAGTCAGATGTCAGGTCATCGCACAACCATTCCAAGGTCAGGGGCCAAAGGTCACATCACATTCCCCATGTGTCCTATCTTAAAAGCGCTTCTGCAGCCTACTTCCTGGAGTGGTGTGTGGGACAGAGAGCTCCTGACTGAGGGCGGACCTGGGGAGCAGCCAGGTGGGGCTGGGGGTGGTCACTCTGTTAAGAAGCGCACTGACCCGCACTGACCCGGGAGGACTTTGTGGAAGGCCACCTGGTTTCCAGACTTCATTTCACCCAGACACACACACACATGCATTAAGGCTTCCTCTGAATATCACCCGGAGAGCTATATTTTGAAATTAATAAACAGGTCAGACACTGAGTCAGTAGCCAGAAGTAGGACAGGAAGTGGAAAAAGTCTCCCACTTCCCGCCAGGTGTTTGGGGGCTTAGGGCCTCCCCTCCCCATTTCCATGACGTCATGGTGGCCCCGAGGGGCAAAGGGGGCACTCTTTGAAGCTCTCCCGCAGAAGCCACATCCTCTGCAAAGAGGAGTTAAAAATACCGAGTTAGAGATAGCATCGCCCCAGGCCACGTGCCTGGGCCAGGCTGGCTGGGCCGTTACACCGCCACCGACCGCAGGTGCGACGCGGAGACGGGGAGCTGGGAAGGGCTGCAC